CACATCTCAAAGTCGTAAATACTATTATGATCATCTGTAGTAAAAGTTACGAAATATACATAATCAAATAATTATTTCATTGTTTAAAAACCAATTAGGTGGTCATATTTCTATAACACCACAGATGGTACGTGAAGCGGTAAAAAGATTGCAACTACGAAGGGTTTATGTCAGCTCGAATCTTATTAGCGAATATCTACGTCGTTCCTACCCAATTGCAAAAGATGCGAAAGAATTGAGCGAAGAATTAAACAAAAAATTAGATTGTGCTGTTCGTGTTGGTTTAATACTAAAACGCGGAGAAGATGCATATTATTTACCTACTTTGAGAGAAGAAGCAAATGCACTTAAAACAGCATTTACTGCATTTTGGGAGATGTATAAAAATGTAATTGCAAGTTTCACTACATGTCCTTTGAACTTTTTTAGTAGCTATTACAATTCTTCGAAAATTTTTTCAGTACCATAAAGTCTCTGCTTCACAAGTTAGAAATCAAAATGGAAAGTGTTCTATAGTAAAGAAAAAATCAAAAATATAAAATGTTGCAGACTATTATAATAAATGATAAATAGCACATTTAGTACATACATTTAAGTGTTATGTTCAAGTCAATAAAGAAAAAGGATTATTTGCATCATAAAATATTGGTTCATGTAAATTTTCCTCAGCACTAAAATATTCAGCATCACTTTCAGCTGAATGTTTATTAAATTTTGAATTCTTAGATCTTACTTTTTGTTTTCTACAGTGATTGGTCTCATTTTGAAGTAATAATGAAAACATTGTTCTTCCCTTTAACAATATTGTATGAAACAATCTTAAGAGGCTTGGAGACTGACGAAAAATAATATTTATATATCCTTCAATGTCATAGCGTATCTTAAAATTATTGCTCAGATTATACAATAAAGTACCATTAAACAAATTAGCAACTTTAGTTTGTGGATAAGGATATCCTAAAAGTGCATTCAAATTCATACTGTATCTTAAACAACTTTGAAATTCTGCAAATGCATGAACTATAGATCTATTATACTTTTTGGGATTTGTGTACAATTTTTTATCCATTTCAAAATGAGAAATAAAAAATGGTGCTGCTAATAAACAATCATCACGATCAAGTGCATTACAAGCTTCAGTGATTGTGCCATTAATTACATATTGTGGCTTATAGTTAGTTGCTTTTCTTCTTATCTCTATACCTTGAATTATTTTACCATATTTATTTTGAAAATTGTACATATTTCTGTGTCTTCGAATTTTGAGATCTATTTTACTAAATAACATACAAACAAATATAGAATATATATAATATTTGTATGATATAGGTGGTTCTGATTGTTCTATCCAATACTTAATGCATCCAACATATAACATCCATTCTGGTGGAAGGTCATTTATCCAATTCATATTTGCAATTCCTAAAGTATTATCTAAAATCTCTCTTCGAATGATTAATGGAACTTCTTTAAGATTAAATAAAGAAGGAAGTTTATATGAAAATATGGTCTCCATGCCTTCTAATTCACGACATATAATTTTTTTATTCTGACCCCTAATCATATATTTCAGATAGTGTACTCTGTCATTTATTCCTGACTTTAAAATTCCAAATATAACACTAATAATTTTTAAGCTAATTACAATGCTTGAAGGATAACAATAATCCTCCACTTGTATAGGACAAATATATAAACACCGAAGTATCAAGTCTATAAAATATCCTGGATATTTTGCCATAAAAAAATCATTTACAAACCACACAGGTAAATTGCTTACAGCTGCATTTTCAAACATAGATTCAGAGTCATCTAATGTATTTATAATTTCAGTTTCATCTTCTTCTCCTTCTTCTCCTTCTTCTTCACTTGTTTCATTATCTTCTTCTCCATGAGTTTCTTCTATATATGTCAAAGTATTAATATCTCCATCAAATTTGAAAATTCTATTCAAATGATGTGTATTTACTCTAGCAACATAGTCTTTTGGTAAACCTAATGGAACAAGTACTTCAGCAGACACATTTGTATAACCATTTATATTAGTTTCTATTAGATCCAACATTCTTTGTCGTATGGGTTTAGCTAATCTACTCAGAATTCCAATGATAGCTTTGTCTAAAGTATAATTACTCAACCAGGTAAAAGTTGCTTCAATACGACGTTGTCTAAGATTATGCCTTTTTCTTGATGCTCCTTTTAACTTCAAATGACGAAAAAAGTTCCTGAATGTACCACGTTTCACATAGTCATTACCTAATAATATTGCAACCAATGGCAACATTGACTGATTGAATCCCTTAAAAGAACTTAGCAGATGTTCAACTCTATAAATTTTACAACGTTTCACATAACCTTTCCCAGTAGAACTTTTAGTTATATAATTGTCTAATGTATTAAATGGTATGTATAATGTTCCATATATATAAAAGTCTGAATCATAGCTGAGTACGGGACAATTCAAGATTCTTGCTACTGCAGCTATATCACTATCAGCTTCAAATAAACATTGCACATATCGAATATTCTTTTCGACCATAACATCCTTAAAAACTTCCATTAAAAATAGAGGGAAAAATGACATTTTCTGTTGACTAAGTGGACAAAAACATGATGCTATACGGATCTTTTCTTTAGTTCTATTTATAATAGTTTTCAATTTTTTATTCTCAATGCCGCCATCCATTAGAACTAATGGTGTCACGTTACACTTTAACAAATCATCAAAAAAGTCTGATACACACTGTGCAACATTATCGTAATCACCACCAAATGCACAATTACATTTTGCATGTAAATTGTGTAGTAGACAGGCAATACTATTCCCATCAATTACTAGATATGAATCGCATAATTCATAATACTCTAAATAGCGATCTGAGCGATTGTTTATGTAGCTGGTTAATCCTGGTATTCCCATTATGAATTTCCTTACACTACCTTTTTGTATTTAGTATCACAAATGAACGTATTACGTATTAAAGGTTATATTTATCACAATATATTTAAAGAACTTTTTTTGTGTACAGCTTGATCAAATAAGAAGCACTCATGTCCCAGCAATTAAGCGGAAACAAAAGAAATGTTTATTCTATATTCTTGACGCTGTTTTCGCGCCATTTTCGAAGTTTTTCTAGTTTCTCGAACTTATATAGTTTATTTAATCTTGTAACGGAATATAGTTTAAAGAATGAGTGTTTCGCGAAAAGAAATGGATGTGGCCTGTAAATCAAAAACGAATACCTGAAAATTTAACCTTTCGTAAAATACATATTGTACAATAATTTTACAATAAATAATTGATTTTTTGATAAATAATTACATATCTTCATTTTTCCTAATGTTGACGTCCTTTCCTCCATTTCCATGGTGTCCTGGAAGGTCCATCTGTAATTCATACAAAAGAACATTAATTTTTTAAATTTTTAATAAGAGTTATAAACAATTTCTGACTTACTTACTGAATGCAATGGTTAATTTAATGCAAAATTAATATATTAAGCAGATTTATTAAGTTAAAGCATACAATAATTTGATTTAAGACTTTCAATAATTATAAAGTACCATCTAAATTGTTATTTAACAGAAAACATTAATTATTCTATAACATTCTTTAAAATAAACCAGAAATTATATTTTACTATCCACATTACTGGTATTGTTAAATCAATTAAAAATTGCTTATAAATATCAATTGAAGTAATAATAACAGGGATAAAATAAATCTAATAAGGATGACAAGCATAGTAATAACGAAGAGAGACAAAGAAACGAATAGCAGTAGATAAGGATAACATTAGGAAAAGAATAGGGGCAGACAAAGATAGCGTTCGTGAAATGTGTTAAACAAGGACAGAAAAATTGGCGGGAAAGACTAGCACCATCTAGCGTCAGGTGACGAGAACTACGATTTCTTAATAGGATAACAGAATATAAACAGAGGTATTAGACAAGGATAGCACTAGTGTGCGACAAGGATAGAGAGAAAACGCTTCCTATTGGCCAGCGGGCCGCCGAGCTCCGCGTATCGAGCCACAGATTAAGTCGATGGATGAAAAATCATTAATAACTCAATAATTAGGATGATTTTGTGAACTTTTAGGATTGAAGAATGAAGCATGGACCTTCAGCAACTTTCACGTATAGTTTTTAATGCTCTAAACCATTCCAATAATTAGTTATTAACAATTACTCTGCGGAGAGTCGGTGGCGGTACTGCACACCGTACTGGTTTTTCATTAATTTTGTAGCTTTATACAAATAATTCACGCACTTTTATACATGCGTTCGAAAGGCTATTCCTTTACCTACTTTCTCGTTACATTTTCATTAACATATCTGTCGTAATGTGCAAGATATTAAACATTATTTGGGTAAGTATTACATTCGTCGCATTCAAACGTAAAACATTTCCGTCATTTTCATTAATAACTTAATAATTACGATAATTTTGTGAACTTTTAGAATGAAAGAATAAAGTATGAACCTTCAGCAACTTTCTCATATAGGTTTGAAGACCCTAGCTTCTTTCAGTAATGAATTATTAACAATTATTGTGCAGAGTGTTGCCAGCGATACCGCACACCATTCAGGGTTTTCATTAATTTCGTAGCTTTATACAAATAATTTATGCACTTTCATACATGCATTCGAAAGGCTATTCCTTTACCTACTTTCTCGGTACATTTTCATTAACATATCTGTCGTAATGTGCAAGATATTAAACATTATTTGGGTAAGTACTACATTCGTCGTATTCAGGCGTCACACATTTTCATTATTTGCATGAATAAACATGATTAATTTTGTACTTTCAAGCATGAAGAATGTAGAATAGACATTTTACTATATTCTACAATAATTTTGGTAGCCATAAGTGATGTAGTTTATTAGATATTAGTAATTGTTTATAACAGTCCGGTATACTCGAGTACGATGAATAGGTGACGCTCCCATATAATGTTTAATAACTCCTAAACTAAAGCGAATATGTTAATAAAAATTATACGAGAATTTAGCCAAAGGTGTTGCCTTTCAGATGCGTATAGCTAGTTGCACGCGAATTTAGTGAAAAACTACGAAATTATTGAAAAACCGTGAAGGTGTTACACTCGATTATATAAGTCGCATTCAGTAGTAACATATTTTCGTTATTTCAATAGAAATGAGTGACTAATTATACACTTTAAGGCATGCAGAATGTAGAACGGACTTTTATCTATATTCTTCAATTAGTTTGGTAGCCATCAGTGGTGTGGTTTATTAGATATTACCAATTGTTTACAACGGTTGGGTACACTCGAGTACGATGAATAGGTGACGCTCCCATATAATGTTTAATAACTCCTAAACTAAAGCGAATATGTTAATAAAAATTATACGAGAATGTAGCCAAAGGAGTTGCCTTTCAGATGCGTATAGTTAGTTGCACGCGAATTTAGTGGAAAACTATGAAATTATTAAAAAACCGTGAAGGTGTTACACTCGATTATATAAGTCGCATTCAGTAGTAACATATTTTCGTTATTTCAATAGAAATGAGTGACTAATTATACACTTTAAGGCATGCAGAATGTAGAACGGACTTTTATCTATATTCTTCAATTAGTTTGGTAGCCATCAGTGGTGTGGTTTATTAGATATTACCAATTGTTTACAACGGTTGGGTACACTCGAGTACGATGAATAGGTGACGCTCCCATATAATGTTTAATAACTCCTAAACTAAAGCGAATATGTTAATAAAAATTATACGAGAATGTAGCCAAAGGAGTTGCCTTTCAGATGCGTATAGTTAGTTGCACGCGAATTTAGTGGAAAACTATGAAATTATTAAAAAACCGTGAAGGTGTTACACTCGATTATATAAGTCGCATTCAGTAGTAACATATTTTCGTTATTTCAATAGAAATGAGTGACTAATTATACACTTTAAGGCATGCAGAATGTAGAACGGACTTTTATCTATATTCTTCAATTAGTTTGGTAGCCATCAGTGGTGTGGTTTATTAGATATTACCAATTGTTTACAACGGTTGGGTACACTCGAGTACGATGAATAGGTGACGCTCCCATATAATGTTTAATAACTCCTAAACTAAAGCGAATATGTTAATAAAAATTATACGAGAATGTAGCCAAAGGAGTTGCCTTTCAGATGCGTATAGTTAGTTGCACGAGAATTTAGTAGAAAGCTGTGAAATTATTGAAAAACCGTGAAGATGCTTGACGGTATGCGGTATCGTTCCCGACATCACGTACTAAAATTGTTAATAACTAATTATTGGAATGGTTTAGAGCATTAAAAACTATACGTGAAAGTTGCTGAAGGTCCATGCTTCATTCTTCAATCCTAAAAGTTCACAAAATCATCCTAATTATTGAGTTATTAATGATTTTTCATCGATCGACTTAATCTGGGGCTCGATACGCGGAGCTCGGCGGCCCGCTGGCCAATAGGAAGCGTTTTCTCTCTATCCTTGTCGCACACTATTGCTATCCTTGTCTAATACCTCTGTTTATATTCTGTTATCCTATTAAGAAATCGTAGTTCTCGTCACCTGACGCTAGATGGTGCTAGTCTTTCCCGCCAATTTTTCTGTCCTTGTCTAACACTATATCTTTCCTTGTCTGACACATTACACGAGTGCTATCCTTGCTACTCGTATATCTTTCCTTGTTTAACGCGTTTCTCTAGTGCTATCCTTGTTTATCCGTATATCTTTCCTTGTCTAACACATTACATTGGTGCTATCCTTGTCTACCCATATATCTTTCCTTGTCTACCCGTATTTCTTTCCTTGTCTAACTCATTACTCTAGTACTAACCTTGTCTCTCTTTATTCGTAGAATATAATTATTTATATTACGTGTATATAAATAAAACAGACTTGGGACCAGAAATAAACGAATTGTGAATGAAATTAATTTTAATTTTTAATTGTTTATAGTAGATATAAATTATAATTTTATTAGACTAATGTATCCTTTATTTTTATATACATTAAAAATAGAATAATTTATCTTGACCAGATATTAAGATTAAAACTTAATGTCAATTCTATATATTACAGAAAATATCAAGCATTTTGTGTTTTTGTATCACATATACATTTTAGTGGAATGATTCATTTTATTTTGTAAAACCCGTTTTGTAGTCTCTATAAATGTAATTTATAGTTTTGCTGAAAAAAAATGAAAAATAATGAATTCCATTAAGTGTTATCCCTTAGCTAATTAAATAATAATATAAGTAGGTCATAAATTACAAGCAAACTAAAAATTTAATGCTTTATAAAAGTTATATATAAGCAAATAAAATTATTATACATATCAAACAGGCATTATATAATCACAATTTACATAAGCAGAAAATACATTGCAACAAGGAAATATTTCAAATTTATAAATTATTAATTTATAATTACTATTTACTAAATTTCAACATTCTATATTCTATATAATTATTAACAAATTTAGAATAATGTACAGTTGTTACTTGTTACAGTAATATTACCAGTACTTTGTTTATTTGAAAGTGCTTTATCCCTTTCATCCCATAATGTAAGTCCATCACAAGCACATATCTTTTTTGTATTTTGAAATAAACTTGATGAACGAGCAATTATGCCACAAGCTAATCTATAAAAAATATAACATAAATTTTAAATATTAAAATCATTATACAAATAGATTGTATGATTTACCTATTTCCACTATTTCCATCTATCTTAGAAATTAAATTATCTCCCCTTCCCAAATCATCTGGCTTTTCTGTTATTACTAAAGATCTTCCAATTATATCAGGTATCTTTACAAGTTTATCAATGATTCTAAAAGTAGCTCTACCAGAGTCATTTACCATTATATTTCCAAGATCTCCAACATGCTATAATAATGATGCAATGCTTTTTATCTAAAGATAATTAATGACAGATTTTTTAGTAATATTAAATCTTAATGTATACCCGTTTAAATACATCATCTTCAGGTCCACCATGTATTGTGTAATTTGGATTAAAATGATCTCCAACACTAAAAATGTGATATAGGATAATTAAAATAAAAGAATATGAAAAGAAGTAAAAATTTTGAAGATAAAAAGATACATATGTGTGTATGCCTACCTATCACATCCTTGAGAAATATCACCACATTCGTGTATGTGCATACCATGTTTTCCAGGTGTTAAACCATCAACTGTTCCATCTATAAGACAACCATCAGGTGTTTGTGCAAATCTTATTACACCCATTACTTTATTATCCACACTATATCCTGAATTTCCTCCTAACATTGCAACAGCACTAGAATGATCTAAAATACAAATAATTAACCAATTTTACAAAAAATAGTACTACGCTATTTTATTTGATTATTACTTCCATATCCTTTTAAAACAGCTTGTCTTCCAGACTGTTCAATTTTTTCTTGAATTATAGAATATGGTAAATTTGTTTCAATCACAACATTTCCTTTTTCCAACGATATGTCGATACTTTCAATTCCATTTATGCCGGTTAAACTGTTTCGTACCGAATCGACGCATTTTTGACAAGTCATGTTCACCGCAAATTCAATCTAAAATTGTAAGAAGTACACATTATTACGATTACAACAGTATTTTACGTTTATTATTACGTCTATAATTTACCTTTGCTGTAGTCATTTTGATATGCCTGACGAAGAATTAACGAAGAATTAATTTCTTTATATTGTAAATAAGATAAATTTATCTTCACTCCTTTAAGGTTACGTTTTCCATGATACGATAAGATTGCAGAAGGCTTTTAAATGAAGCGAATGTTCTTAAATACATTGATATAAATATTAAGTATACATAGTAGTTTTGTAAGATCATTTAACTGAATATTGAAGAAAATAATTAAAAGGAGATTGCATTTATTGAATAGGGAATAAGTTATTTACGTTCGTATTAAATAGAAAACGGATAATGTTCTTTCAGTGTTTAAATTTGAATATTAAATATACTTTCAACAAAAATGATTAAAGCGCTGCCTCTATTAATTTACGTAGTAACAACGTCGTGAAATTCCTATTTAGTAAGGGACAGAAACTTGTAATCGCTAATTTTCTTATGAATTCTACAATTAATATTTGTATTTATCAATGTAAGTACAATTTTTTCAGGGTTTTCATTAAAGATTTTTTTTCATCAATGCATTATGTATATTTGAATCTTCACTAGTATGTACCAGTAAGTAACGGATTTTGAGTTTTTACTACCGTATCATTGCGTATATTTTGCCACAATAGTTCGCGCATTTGCCACACGGTACGCTCTTTTCCCAAGCTTTCTATTTTAGAAATGGATAGCCACCATCTCTTATTTGTAAAACTAGAAAATTTTGCAAAGCAATCGCTAGCGGCGATTTGCTATATTTAGAACTTTTGTTCGGTAAAGGATCATCTTGGTTAAAAAAAAACCTGTTAATATTTTTGTTTTGGAAAAAAGAGCCGTGCTAAGGTGATTTCTTTTTGGCTGTTGAAGGTATGGTGCAGCAATGTGGGCAACTACTACTGTAACGAAGTCTTAAAGTTTCAAATGAGTATAACAATTTGGAGCAAGAAACTTTTAACTCGTATATCATATGAAAAGAATCAAAAGTGAAATTAAATTGCAACTACTGTAATTTCTTTATAATTTATAAGCTATCTGAAAATATGTCTGTGACCTTTGCTCAACGCGGCAGGCCGCCGAATCCTGCCCAAATACAGAAGGTAACGACTATTACGTATTATTGTTAATACTGTACTGATCTAATTTTCTGCATATATTGTTATTTCATAGTTTTGTAATATTTAACATGATAATGTTTCATAAGAAAAATTGAAGTGCATTATTAATAATATATTGTAAAGACATAATTTATATCATTATTTTATAATGTTCATACATTCATGATTTATATGAATGAATATGTTTGTATAGATGCTTGATGAAAATAGTCAGCTTATACAAACAATACAAGAGTATCAGAATAAAGGAAAACCACAAGAATGTATACAGTAAGTGAATCTTATCTCCAAAATATTTATAAGTTTTATCAGTGCACTTATATAATTTTGTTTAGGTACCAGCAGATGCTACATCGCAATCTGGTTTATTTGGCATCTATTGCTGATGCAAATCAGAATATACAAGCATTATTACCGGTAAAGAATATTAAAAAATGCTAGTATGTATAATTTAAGTTGAAAATATTTTAATATTATGTCTATGTCTACAATAAGCCTCCACAAGGAATTCCTAATGGTCCTCAACATGCTATGATGAATCCACAAGGCCTTCCAAATGCTCCCACTGGATCAGGTGGACCTGGAGGAGACATGCCACCAAATACTCAACCAACATTGCCAATGTCAAGCTTTAGTCAAGGACAGCCAATATCACAAGGTGGATATCGTGGTCCAGTTATGCCTGGACAAGGACCTGCTATAAATAGTATGTTATATTCTAGCTGTTATAATAGAATGTTATATTTTAATTAATTTTTTAATGAATGGGTGGTTGCTCTCATGGATGTTATGTCTTAATTTATTTTTAATATTTTATTATTTTAAAGGACCACCTACTGCACCTGGACCACAACAGTATAGAGGACCACAAGGATATCCTCAACAACCTTCTCAACAAGGTTACCCTGCTCAATATGCCAATCAAAATCCTGGCTCAAATTACCAAGGGCCACAGGGATCTACATATACTCCAGGACAACCAAATCAATATGGGCCACCAAATACTTCTCAGCAACAGGGATATAGCGCATCATCACAACCAAATTATGGTCCACCAACTACTGTGAACAGTTATGGTCCTCAACCTGGTGGATATCCACCACCAGGAACAACACAACCTCCTACAGGATATGGTCCACCACCACCAAATCAACAAGGTTACCCTCCTTCTAATCCTTCTCAACAAAACTTTCCATCAAGTGGACAACAACAACAACCTGGACAATATGGCAGTCCTAGCCCACAACCTAATTATCAACAACCTCCATCCCAAGCTCCACCTCAAAATGCATATGGAGGAGGTCAACCAGGAAATTATCCTCCCCCTTCTTCTCAAGCATATGCAAATAATGTTCCACCTCAAAATTATCCAGCTCCCCCTACATCTAGTGCTCAACCTCCTCAACCTGGATCTCAACAAAATACCGGTCCCCAACCCACTTACGGTAATCAACCGAGCCCTGGTCCAGGCGCAACACAGTATGGTCCAGCTTCTACGTCTCCACCATTTAGTACTGCCTCCGCAAGTGGAGTAAACACTTATGCTCAAAGTAGCCAACCAACAAGTACACCATCTGCTTCAACTCAAACTTATCCACCAAGCAGTGGTCCACCACCTACTTCACAGGGCGGAAGTTACGCTCCTCCAGGCCCTGCTCCATCTGGATACCCTGTGCACCAAACACCACATCCAACATCGCATCCACCACATCAACCACCGCATCAATCTCCACATCAACCGCCTCATGCTCCTCATCAACCACCTCATCAGCCTTCTCATCAGTCAACTCATCAACCTCCTACACATCAATCTCCACATCAACCTCAACAATCTCAACAACAATCTCAGACACCACCACAGTCACAACAGCAACAATCTCAAAGTCCTGCTCCAAGTGGATTTCAACCACCTTCAGGACCCCCACAGGGTCCTGCTCCACCCCCAGGACCACAACCACAACCCGGATATGGTCCGGCTACTACACAGACATACGTACCACCGACACCAGGTGGACAACCACAGGTATTATTTATTAAAACATATTACATATCTTTTAAATTATTTTAAATATATGTTGTACCTAATAGAAATTATATTAAACTGTAGGTGTACACTCCCCACCCACCCCAAGGTGGTCAACATTATGGACATCCACAATATCCTCCACAGAGTTATCCACCACCAGGTCCAGCAGGTCAAGGATATCCCCAATACCCCCCACGACCACCAGGTGGTCATATGCCTCCACCGCCAGGACCTCAGGGACCTCCACCACCAAATCAGTATGGGGGTTACGGATATCAACCGCCTCCACAATAGAGTATATATTAATGTAAATTCGTACAATATTCATACTAATATAAAAATGATTTAACTACGAACTTGGAACAAATGACATATAAAACTTTAATTTAATTCATAATAGCGTATCGTCCAGTGTTACGTAATGAGGCAAATAATAGAAAATATATATTACTAAGGAAAGGTGCTGCTACATTTTCATTACAATCGTAATGAAAAATTATTTAAAATGATCTTAATAGTGTTAATCTTTCCAAACAAAATACGCGGATTATACTTCGATGCAAAGAGAATTTATTGTGTACGTGTTTTAATGTGTTTGTAAACTTCAAAGACTGATCTTTGAAGTTTCATTTTGTAGAAGGAATATTTTGATCATTAAAATATTGCTACAAATCATTTAATGTAACATCAAAGTTTCGTACATTCATATTCCATATTCATATATACGGTGATTTCTGTGTAATATTATTTTGTATGTTAGCAAATTTGTAAATCTTGATTATTTAATTCTGACATACACACAAGCTTATACAGCACTTAGCAACGTGTGCAGCTTGAAAATCTCGGTGTGCACAATGCAGCATAAACATATCTGTCATACTGAGATAAAATGTAAGAAACATGGTACAATATGTATCTACCTATTTACAGCTTCCAGAATACACGTTTGCCTTAGAATTAATTTTATATTTACTTATCTAATTTTATATTTTCTTGATTGTCATTAAAAAGTTTATGAATTTACACATTGATTCTTATCTTTTCCTTCAAAAATTCTTTTAATTTATCAGAAAATTTCTGTTTTTTATATATATATTTTTAAACTTTTACATTATCAGTTTTTATTACTTTATATTTAAAAATTATCGTCTACAACCTTTATTTTCTGTCTATTCTATTTAAGGAAGACTGTTTTTTATCACAAACGTACTTTTTCTTTTTTATCTTATAATATCAATCATCTGAATATTAAATATGGGTGATTAAAAATAGAAAAGGATCTGATAAGGAAATATATTTTCAAAACGTAGAATTTAAAGTGGAGCTTTTTAACATTAGAGTAACTTGGATATTTTAAAATCCCCTTTTCTTTTTTTGTATTATGTTTATGAAAATTTAACTAATATACGTTATTTTTATATAATAGTAGAGTAAAAAAATGAATTGCATCTATACTATTATTTTTACTTAAAATTAAAGCTCCTCTTTAAGTTTTACATCATCATTATAACATTTACAAGAATGCTTAGGTTGCAGCACTTCTTCCATGTTATCTAGTACCTTAACTTTGCTCTTTAAGCGTTTACTCCATTCCTGAAATGTAGAAAATATGTTATTCTATACCGTATATGTAAAAAGAAAAAATAAATGGAGTTGAATCTGTATAATTTTAGTTAGTATTTCTTACATGAAACAAAGCTACATGATAGCACAACACATCATGAGGTAATAAATTATCTCTTGCAAATTGTCTAGCGGATTTGGCAATTTGTAATGCTTCCTTGTCATTTTCCTTAGCCCATATGATTTTTTCAACAAGATCTGATAAATCATTTTTCACAGGCACATAGTGTTTTCCAGGTACAAGATCGTTATAAAAAAATTCATAGTATTTTGATTCTTGTTTCAATACCATGGCATCTCCAGCAAGTAAGTATGGGAATCGATACGCAGCTACTGAACCATCGATGTTTAACTGATATTTGTACTATGTAAATGTTAAAATTTTGTATTTTTTCTATAATAATAATTTACGATTTGTATATATGCTCATTTTACCTTAAAAAAATTAAAGAAAGATATATGGCTTTGCCCAGGACCATATTTATCCGTTTCATTTTCAAAGAAGAAGAAATTCGTAATTGAAACATTAAATAAATCAGGATATTTCCTTGAAATATCAATTAAATCTAGTCTTTCTCTACAGGAATCACGACCGCGCCAAAACACTTTTTCTATTTTTTCTTCCCATAGTGTATCAGTATTACCTTGTACAGATAGTATATCTAACATTACCCTGTTTTGTGTATAATACCAGCAAATGTATAAATGTTTAATATACATATATAAATTTGCTAAAACAATTACTTGATATATAATAAAATTACTACCTTCCCATTGCTTCTAATGATGATACCGTGATGTCATAGGTAGGCATAACAATATCTTTTGTATCATAAGAACCACACCAAGAAAAAATTGGATAAATTTTACCCCCTTTTGGAACAAGTGGCCAATCTCCCAAATTTACAAAGAATTCAATATCTGGCAAAACAACTTTGCGAGTAATAGATAATAGGATGGAATCCATGAATATTTTGAAGCCTACGTGCCGGCCATAACATTTCCTAAAAATCTTATTTCATCTAGTTTAATTCAAATATACTTTTAAATTAATTTCACATTTACAGGATGCAGTGTTACTTACTTTGTTAGATTTAACTACATAATGACATAGGCTAACACTCCCTGGTCGATCATATGCTTTTATAATACTTTGACGTATTTTATTAAAGTCTACACTTGCAAAAATTGCAAGATCTTTATGTATTTGAATATAATTCTTAGAACATTCCAAATCTTCTAACCACTTATTAATAGAAGGATTTGGGCAATAACATTCTTCTTCATAAACAGGTCCTAAAAATTCAATTATATTTTTTATATTACATAGAAAATATAAAAATTCATGTAATAGATAACAGATTTAATACCTTTAGATTCTATTGATAAGATAGGTAAATTATGATGCTTCATTTTTATTTTTAATTTTATATTGAAACATGTATTATGTAATTTATATCTGACAATAAAGCTTCCATCCTTACAATCTAAAATTTGAGTCCATACATGGCATGCATTTCCCATTGAAGTTTGACCTTGTATGGAAACATTTATTATGTCTTTCCCAGGTGATTCTGTTAAGCTTAAAAATATTTTAAAAAATTTTAAAATAAATGTAAGCTATATACACAGTTGCAGATAATAAGTGCATAAAACAAAATATAATTTCTGTAATAAACAAAAATTTTAAAACATAAAGATCTATATTTATGAGGCAAGAAAAACATACTTTTTTCCTTGTAAATCAGTAAGCTGTAAAAAAATATATCTTGCTCGCATTGTTGCTTTGTCGGGTTTTAATCCTGGACCCCAAATTATTGTTTTTGATGGATCTATTTCAAGATTTTTTATTTCTTGACAAAAAAGCAACAACAAAATCGATATAAATATCATTTTTGTTAATAATAGTTGATCTTTGTATAAGTAGTTATGCCAAGCAGCGGCTACACTGCAAATACGTTGTAAATATAATTCTTCCGTGTACAAAAATTCGTTGGTACTGTTAATATTTTTAAAAAATTTAACTATAATATCATTTTACCAGTTTCTTAATTGTTTTCACATCAAGTACGTTTGCTAACAGTAACTAACAGGAACCTGATGTTGATTGGATTATCAATTATGTGTTCATTTATATAGAAATATTTTGTCACATATAAGTATGAATCGATACGAAAAATAATTATTCTTAAAGTTTATTATAAAATGAAATTCTCAAGTATTGCAATAAAAAAAAAGAAATGTGTTTCAAGGATTTTTTTACTGCTGTCAAACGGTGGCCACTTCATGATAGTCAACATGTAGAGATGCATCTCTACCATTATGTTGTAGTTCGCGTATACTTTTTACTCCTAGGTTATCTCTGTTTATGAAAAACGTAGCGATTATCCTATGTAGCTTGTAATTTATGAAAAAACTGATTGACTAAAATGCATGATAGAAACGTAAATATCTGTTATACGATGGAGGCATGCCGAATTTGTTGCACAGAAAATCCTTTCTATTCTCAGGTGGGAATCTCTCAGATCTGTGGAATCACTGAAAAGTGATAAAGAAATATAATTTTCAACTGCTTGGGATAATAACAGCTTTATTTCGGCTCGAAACTTAAAAAAATTTGGAAATAGTATAGTATTTTATCGATAGAATACTTTTAATGAACATTTAGCGGAAAATGGAGTGTAAAATTGACGATTTACCAGATGTCTTATTGGAATATATTTTAAGTCTAATTCCACCATATAAAGATCTTCAAGAATGTAAACTTGTATCCAAAAGATGGTTCCGTGCTACCAAAAGTATATATAATTTCTTTACTTTGGATGTATTCAATCTTTATTTGTAAATATATTCATAAGAAATAACAAAATCCTATTCTTGTTACAGATGTAATCCAACATAATAAAGCACATTTTCATAAATCTGTGGCTTATGGATCGTTACTTTGGAATCCATGGCCATCTACACATTGGATGCCCATAATTGCAAAGAGACATTCACATTCTGCTTGCATATATGAAAACTCTATGTATGTTTTTGGTGGATGTACTGCTACATGTACAGCATTTAATGACTTATGGAGATTAGATCTAGATACAAGAGCATGGGTTAGATTAATCACTATGGGAAGTTATCCATCTCCTAAAGCTTCTGCTACAATGTTATATTACAAGAAAAGCTTCATTTTATTTGGTGGATGGTCTCATCCATCACCACATCCTTTACATCCAGTAAATAAATTTAATATTATGACTAATGAGAATAAAAATATTTATTTAAATAAAAATAGCTTTATTATTGTTCTTGTGAATATTTTCAGCGATGGAAATTATTCAATGAATTACATGTATATTCTATAGAATCCAATAAATGGATTGCTATAAATACCTTGGAAACACCTCCACCCACTTCTGCACATTCTGCATCAATCCACAAAAACTACATGATTGTTTTTGGTGGTATATGTAATGGATACAGGTAACACATTTGAAGATGCTGAATGTTACCTAACTATTTTAATTTGATTTCGTAACAACAAGATATTATTTTGAGGCAGATCCAATGACATATGGTGTTTGAATCTGGATTCATATAGTTGGCACAAACAGGCCACTTCAAACTTGAAGCCACAACCACGTTATGGTCAATCTCAGATAGAACTTGGAGATAAACATCTTCTTGTATTAGGTAAGAATTTTGTACATGATATCTACTATATTATAAAGAAGCAAAGTAAATAAAGAGTAAATAAATTTAAATATTTCAACAATTAGGAGGGTGTACTGGACCCAATGTTGCTATGAATGATGCTTGGTTGTTAACAATGGAAGGTGCAGCATGGACATGGAGAAAAGTAAACATGCACAATACAGAATGGGCACCAACACGTATTTGGTGTCACCAAGCTTGTAAGGTAATGACTGAAAATATTATCAATTTACAATACTTTGTATTACTTATTTGTACTTTAACTTAATAGGTGGGAAACTATGTTATCGTTCTTAGTATAAATAAATGTCAGAATAAACCGAATGATATGAGTATATCACTAAAGAAGGTCACTTGTCAAAGGACAGCACCACCAAGAACAAGTGATTCATCTCCTTTACATGGAAGGTTCGAGTATCTACGTTTTTTCCTAATATAAATTATAAATTTACATAAATCCATAATTGTATTTTGTTTTTAGACAAGCAAATGTATTTCAATTCGTTAGAGATGAAAACATTAATGGCCGGCATGGAACTTTTTCAAAAATATCTGTACAAAATTCATCTCCATCGTCATATCCTCCTATTTTTACAAAAAATTTAACATTATCTAACGATAATGTTTTAAGTATGGCCGCTTTTCGTAACGAAAAGCGTAACGGTACTAACAGCCATCGACAACGTCAATTAGAATATCTTCGTAGAATGGAAGAAAGTATTCGAAAGCGAAGAGCACAGACAAAACCTGCAAAGAAAACAGGAAATACATTGTCTATATTTGTGTTAGATATTACGAATGTCTTATGTGATGAGTGCAGTGCTTCATGGATTCCTTTAAAGCACAATGATCAATCAGGCCCTGATGAAAGAATACTTTACTCGCTTGTAGCTGGTCGCGGTGAATTAATAGTATTTGGAGGCATTCGAAAAGAACAAACATCTATACAAAATCATCCTGACATGGATGAGTCTGAAGTTTATAACGATCTACATTTTATAAATCCGCCTAGATATGTTATTTAATATGTTGCAACAATAAATAATACGTTTCTGTGTTCGATAAAAGATATTTTCATTTTGTTAGCATTGGCTTTGATTCTGTCATAAATTAGTATTTATCAAAAATTGCTTGAACTAGAAAATAATAACAATGATATAAAGAGATTTTGAGAATATCTTACCATAAATAACATTAAAATATTGATTTATTTCTTCTGAAAGGAAAAGTCGTGTATAAAACATAATTGTTTAAATATGACCAGAAGTGATGTGTTATTTTTATAAACAACTTGTTATTACAAATCTTACTATTTTATTGTAAACTTTATTATTTACATATTTTCCACGCGTTGTACTTTATGTATGCCTTAGTCATCCTCACCTTCAATTGCTTTTAAACTACCGAATACTTGTGATGGAATAGTTTGTTTTTCAACAGGTATATCTGAAAGTAAAAACAAAAATTTAAAAAAATAGGATATAAAACACGTGTGTTGTTATTAAAACTGTCCAAAGCAATTTATAAACGCATTAAATGTGATAAAGTGTAATAAAAACTTAAATGTGTTATTACAGATTTTATATTACCTTCCTCTATATCTCCTTCATTATCATTAACATCGTCTATATCAATATCTATTTCGTCTGGATTATTCACTTGGGATTCCGGTTTACCATCTTTTTCTGTTACACCACGTACAAATTTAATGCTGTCCTTGTATGCAGTAACATTATCTACAGAGTTACATTATTGTTTTAGTAAGATCAACCATTTAATTTTGCAAATTAAGTTATTTTTCTTAGGATAAATAGAAAAATCAAACCTGTGCTTTGCGTTTTACTATCTAAAAGACGCATTGCATCTATTGGTACATCAGATGGTGGGTTTGATGCATTGTTTAACATTTGAGCAGACATCATATTTACTTGAGTATTGTACATAGCTTGAACACTGCGTTTAATTCGGAGCATTTCACGCATAGTATCTTCATTGCCATGTCTTACTTCAAACTCTTTCCATATTTGCCAAAAGTTTGATGTTACCTAAGTGAAACATAAAAAAAGTGTACACATGAAATTATCAACTTAATATTATTCCCAAATTATTCAATCAAATAATATCACATACTCTTGGATCACAAATTTGACTGCAGTGCGCATATATCGCTCGAGCTCTGTCAACTTCTCCTAACTTCGTCTCCATTTCTGCGAATCGCAAACACATTTCTCTTGTATTATCTTCATTAAGTACTTCAATAGCTTTTTCGTATATTTGCCTCGTTTTCGGTACACCATATATATCTGCTGCTTTTTTAATGTAAATATTAAACATCTGTAAAAATGTATGCATCAACTGTTACTAAATTTGAATAAAATATATTTATTACATTTATATTAAATATTATACCTCAAATCGTTCTTCAGGAAGAACAGCGCTTGTTGCTCGTTCATATACAGACATTGCATGCCTGGCTAAACCATGCTCTTCTTCTAATTTTGCATATAGTAAATACAAAGCTACGATAACAAGAAAATAAATGAGTAATGGCATAATGCTTTTATTGTACATATGTATAATGATTTTGAACAGTATGCAAAAATACCTTTAGCGTATTTTGGTGGACAATGTTCTAAACATTGTTCAAATAAATCTCGTGTTCGTTCTAATTTTGTACCACCATAACGTTTTAAAAATTTTGTAAGGTACGTATTCCATATATCATAAACATTAGGCCATTTAAAGAGTGCAATGCCTTT